TTCAAAACATATTTTCTCTCACTTTTTTATTATTTTGATCTAGTTATTGAAAAAAAAGCATAAGAATGGTATGATTACTATTTAGGGAAAATTTTAAATAGAGTATTAGATTGAAATTCATGTTATAATATCTAGAACTTTAGGTTGAAATTAAGTTATTTATGACTGATTTTTTTAACGTGGGAATTTCAGAATTTCGTAGACGATGAAGTCGTAGTATCGAAGGTTAGCAAGCAGCCAAGTGATGAGAATGATGTGAAATACGCTCGATTTTGGATTTATTCACATCATATATATGATAAAATTAAGCGAAAAATAATTGACGACACAGCAAACGCGCTTCATTTGAATGGATTCTTTTGTTCTGGTAAACCAGGCGTGATCATTGTGGAAGGTTTGCGTAAAGACTGTGATCGGTTTTGGGAACAAATTCGTACTCTCACTTGGAAACGTATAACATTACGTCATAATGAAGAGTACGCGGATTCATCGTTTTTGAGGCTAGGAAAATTTCGCGAAATTCATTTTTCACGTGTTGAATATTTGTCAGAATTGAAGAAAGAACTAGTCAAAGCTGATTTAGAGTATGGTTTTACATTGTTATTAAACCTTTAATAGTGTTCAGATAGTGTGAAATGAATTAAGGGTTCATAGAGTAATATATTTACTTCGATGCTCTTTCTCAAAATCGAGAAATGTATTTTCATTTGTGCAATGAAAGTATCGAAAAAGTGTGTTTTAATTTGTGCAGTCTTTATTAATTGTTTGAAAAACTTTGAGTTTATTTTTTTCTTAAAGTTATCACTGCTATTCAGCACGTAGAAATTGATCCTAAACAGCTGAATTTGTTTAGATTGCACTGAAAATTTGCATTTCTCCCAATTTCCTATTGCGTTTGTATATAACATGTAGTAATGAATTAATGCGCATCATTTTTAGTGCATTAACTTCTTCCGGAGGTTTCAACTACTTCAAGGTGTTTAGAATATTTGAATGATTCCACTTTTTATCACTCACTCAGTTTCAACGTCTTTTGTCATCGTTTATTTGGTTTTGATTATTGTTCATGATAGCTTTAGTAATTTATTGAATTTTTGATTCTGAATTAAATTTTTCGTATAGAACTCTTCGTACTGAATAAAGTTTACACGGAGCAGTGATTGGTACGAAAAATGAGCGAATCAAAGAAAACTGATAATGGTGAAAATAAAAATGCTGAAGTCCGAGTAAGTAAACATAGAGACTGAAGAGGACAGAATAAATATTTTTTGAAAGTTCTGTTTCTTTGAAAATCTATTTTAGAATCCTTGTTTCTGTAAAAATTAAATTCTCAACATATACTTTTGTAAAAGATTCTAGCCAGTATCGGCTATCACGATGGAAGTGCAAAGATTTGCATATCTGAAGTTTAATAAATTTGAAACTTTTCTCTCAGCTCATTGACTTGAAACTTTTTGTTCATTGACCATACATAGATGACATATTCAAAAGAATATATCTGTTATTAAAAAAAACAATGAAGTTTCCACTGTACTGCTTTGTCAGAAGGATTCAGAAATGCACACATATTACACTGTAAGTATAAATAGAAAAGTAAATGCACTGCTCTGTACATTTTGTAGCGTAAGTAAAAGGATGAAATTTGTACTAATAATGCACAAAATTTCACGACATAATTGGCTTCAGAATTATTTAATGTATTATTCCCGCAATGATACGAAAAATGAATTTGTTTTTGTAATTCAATTAGAGATTTTAATAATCTGAACTAGTAATGTACAGTTTTTGTCACGTTTAATGTAATTTTCTATTTGAGTGCAGCGAAATCTTCCTGAACCCATCATAATATTCAAATATTTGGATCTGTTTTTGAAACCAAATTTTAGAATTTCGCTGAAATCATAAATGTTGAGAGTGGATCTAGCTAAGAATAATGATATATTAGCAATAATTACGTGAAATTAATAGTTGTCAACTTTCCCTCTCCTTCGAGAATTTGGCAATATTTAAAAAAAGAAAATAATTTCTACTTTTAAAAATGTGAAAGAATAATTTGAAGTACCTGAAAGGAAGAAGGATATTTTCAGGTCAAAGCATGGTTACAAACAGTAGTCGACAAATTAACAAAAGAATGGAAGCCTTCGAAATGCCAGTCACTTTTTACTGAGAGTGAACTAATTGAGTTGTGCTATCGAGCGCGGGAAATGTTTTGGATGCAACCAACGCTTATTGATGTAATAATTATAGTAATTAACTAAAATGAGCATTTATCAAAGCACTGAGTCAGTAATTCATTTTGGTAATGGTATAAAGCGCGTAAATGGTTCCTTGGCCTATTTGATGCAATAAATGCTAATTAAAGAATTTGCAAATTTTAGACTCAATAACTTAAATCTAAAGTTCTTTACAACACTTATATTTACATATGCATGTACAAAATTCCGTTATCATTTATTGATCATACTGTAGTGATTTTGAAAATCAATAAAATGTTCGGGAGAAAATGTTTTAAAAAGATAATGATGGAAATTTTTAGCACTTTATACCATTTTAAGTCATTTTAAGACGTTATTGAGCAGTGCATTTGTGATTATATAACTTTTCAAATTTTTACATTGGCTTACAAAACTGTTTTCTTAGAATACAAAGGAAAAGATACTGATTGCTAAAACAAAGAACAAATCAATTTCCTACTGAAAATATTAATTCAATTGAATTTTCAGTTGAATCCACCAATTCATGTTGTCGGAGATATCCATGGACAATTTGAAGATCTTATTGCTTTGTTTACTTTAAATGGTTTTCCTCCTGATGTCCAATACCTGTTTCTGGGTGATTACGTTGATCGCGGACCCTTCTCACTTGAAGTAGCAGTATTGCTCTTTGCCTATAAGGTAAGAACATTTTTACTTTTGTTCATAATTTTCTGTCTTTGATAAATATTTTAAACTTTGTGAAAAAGTAGCTGCAGGACGAGAACAAAAATTGGACAAGGATGTGGAATCTGTTCTCACATTTTAACACTTGTTACTGAGGAAAAGAGTGTATAAAAATTGTATGTGGAATAATATACTTTCAGCCAATTCTGTAATAGCCGTATTTTTTGCACTTCAAATGATTATTGCAATTGATTGATTTTTTAGTGATTTTGATTTTAGGTACTGTATCCTGATTTAGTAACCTTATTGCGCGGCAATCATGAATCTCGGCCAGTGAATAAACAATATGGATTTTATATGGAATGCACAAGGCGGTGAGCTTCTCTTAAATACTTTAATTAACTAATCTTTTTAAATTATACTTGACAAATCTGTAAAATATGCATATTCTATGGGATTTCTACTTGCTTATTTCTGTTAGCTATTCAACTCACTAGAAAACTATATCTTATTAGCCGAGAAAAAAAATTTACTTTTGGTACTTTCAACTTAATTTTTGTTTAGGTACTCTGTGGTACTCTATGAATGCTTTCAATTTGCATTTTATTGCATGCCATTTTGTGCTCGTATAGATAAAAGGATATTGTGCATGCACGGTGGAATCAGTGAAGGATTGACTAATTTTGCTCAAGTAAATTTCAGAAATAATTTGAAAATTAATTACTGAAAAAATTATTCGTTCGCATGAATAACTGAAACAAATCAATTGAAAAGTAGCAATTCAAGTTTGGGAAGAAAGCAAAATTTAGAAAAAAAGAAAAAATGCTATTTGTACAGTTTTTACGGTTAATTTATTGGGGTCAGATGGCAAAGATTGAGCGTCCATGTGATGTTCCTGATATGGGTATACTTGCTGACCTTACGTGGGCTGATCCTGATCCAGGAGTCTCGGGTTACGAAGAAAGTCCACGTGGTGCTGCAAGCATTTTCGGAAAAGATGCATTGAAATCATTTTGTAACAATCTGGGATTGGAGCTGGTTATTAGAGCACATCAGGTCATCATTTTTACATTACAATTTATAAGTTTGAATGAATGGAGATGCTTACAAACACAATATTGACTCTATAAAACAAATACTATATGGAATTTTAGAAAATAAAAAATAAAACCATGTGGTATGTTCTTGTTTATTGCGAACAGCTGTGACTACTGAAGAAATACGCTTCATAGCACGTACTGAAAGACAAATTGAAAAATCTCTGTCATGATTGATAAAAATAAAGATTTTGTTTGTTATAATTTTATTACTGTGATCATAACGAACAATTTTAGGTAGTTCAAGAAGGTTACGAATTTTTTGGTGACCGCCAGTTGGTAACCATATTTTCAGCTCCAAATTATTGTGGCCAATTCAATAATGCTGCGTGTGTGATGAAAATTTCGAAAGATTTGGTAAGATTTTAGATTCTGTTCAATAAAACAAACAAAACCTAGACACAAAACAAAAATTGATATCAAAATTATGAACAAGAATATAGCTGAAAAGACGAAAATTCAAATTATACCTGGGATTTTATGATGAATGCCTTGAACAAGTCAATTTCATTATTTATGCAACACTGTTAAATTCATATTGGGCATTTGATACTGTTGTTTCGTTTTTAATATCCAGTTCAAAACTGTAAAAACTCAACTTCTCGTAATAATTAACTGATCAACTAATAATAATTGACTGCTACAACTTTTGTTGAATACTGAGTACAGTTAAGTTAAACTGTATCCAACATGAACTAATTTGGTCAAAATATTTGTGGACTGCCTGATTTGGTCAACTATTACTAATTACAATTAGTGCATCGAAAATTATTATAATTTTTATCTTATTATTATTATTCAGGAAATTTCTTTCGCTATACATCGGCCGAAGAAAAATGCATAAGATGAAATAACAAGAAGAAAGAAAATTCACACAATGAATACCTGAATAAGAATTTAAATTCGAATTTGTGTTACACTGAGTGAATCAAATAACTCAATCTCATGCTTTTATTCCCAGTAAGTTAGTAGATCGTTGGTAAATGAGATCAGATAAAATCTAACACAGTTTATTACCTTCAAATAATACAGAAATGAAGTTTACATTTCATTTTGAAATTATCTAACACTAATACGTCAATTTTGTATCTTTATTTTAATATTTTTTATTGTATTTTTTACAAATTCCAAAGACTTATTTATCCATAATCACGATCATGCTTGCACAGATTTACTTGTTAACATTCTTTGCTTTTTTTTACAAATGCCAAAGACTTACTTGCAGAAATTTACTTCAAAACTGTATTTCCTGCTTGAAACGCCACTCAAATAACTGTTGAAGTGTTTGTACACACATTATTTCCAAGTAATTCAATGATAAGACCATTTCTTACTTCTTATTGCGAATTAAAGTTGTACACACGACTTCTAGACCATAAAGAATACATAATAATAATTTAATGAGAGAAAATTGATCATCCCAATGCAAGGTTCCACTTTATGGCATTAGTACGAAACCTTCTCTGAAATAATTACTCCTCTGAAAGGGTGATGAGTTTTGATGGGATAACATTGTTGCATTTTGGCTACATTATGGCAAACTTGAACAGATACTTTTGATCTTTGATACTGTGAAATTACACGTGATGTATATTTTGCTTGATAAATATTGTTTTGCTTTCCCACGTTAGTTTCGGTATCTCCAGTTGTAGTGCAATTTTTGCATCTTGCGCTGGACATTGTACAGACGTTGAACGCTTATTGATTTGTCTGATACTTAAACAATAATTCACTTACATTTTCTGACATTGTCTCAAAAAGTTAGACGTTTTACATCATCTACAATAATTTTTAATAATTATTACCAATATTGATATTGAGCATAAAGTGTTTAAATTTTACTCATGCTTGAAGTGATATAAAACTTCAATGAATACGTTTGATTTTTGCACACATTGTGAATTGCGGATTATATTTGCACAGTTTTTTAATTTGTATTTGGTATCTATGTACATAAAGCATGAGTAAAATTTACATCCATCTTCATATTGGGCAAAAGTTTGTTTCCTATAAAATACAGTATGACAAGAAAACATTGAATGAATACTTATAGATATTGTGGAATGATGCTGCATCAGTCTTGTTTTTATCTAATTGGTATTTCAGGATAAGAGGATGTATTTAGTAGTCATGACTATCAGTAATATGCAATTTAATCGGAAATACATGCTCACCAATATCGGATATATATGTATAACAAAAATCAAGAGTACTTCACTTTCCGACATTTACTCGGATTAAAAGTTTGGAAGCGATTAAATGAAAGGTTACACAACTTATTGCTTTCCTAAAAGCTAAATTAATTTAACATTCAAATCAAGTAGTAGACATTGGAATGCTTGATTGAACTCTTTAATTTGAACAGAATGCTATAAAAACATTGAATTGAACTTTATAAAGATTTTTTTATTGAAATCACCTTCTTTCAAGAGAAATTATTGTCAAAAACTTCTGAAACAGTATACTTTTTTTGTTCCAAATATGTTCATGTCAACATTTTCATGAGTAATGTTTTACAGACTGGTTTGACTTAATAAAATACATCTGGATAGCAAGCTACAGTACAGCAACTGAGTGCTGCATATTTTCAGGTTGTTAAACTATAAATAAATCACTTCTTACTTGTACAAAGTTAAGGAATTAAATTTTACATTTTATTGTGACCGTTGTCCTGACAAAGATTTATCTTCTCATGATGATTTTGTAAAATAGCAAGTAAAAAACGGATATTTAAATGGAAATTTAGATATTTTAAATTCT